ACTGACAATATCAAGTATTGTAAAAAACATGGAACAACTAGAACTCACACACACTTCTGTTGGAGAATGTAAAATATTGTAATTACTTTGGAAAACAGTTTGTCAGTTAGCATTGAACGTTTTTTGAGAAGGAGATGACAAGATTGGAAAGGACTCAATAGTCCATTCTTACACAGGATCTTTTTTTCTTATAAATACTCCTTTTATTACTAATTCATAGTTGGATAAATTCCTCACAGTTATACAATATTCTGTTTGGTATAGTGGGAAATGTATGGGCCATTGTGTCACACATAGATTCTAATCTTGAACACTTATTAGCTATGTGACCTCAGGTAAGTAATTTCTGTTTAACAACACGTACTAATCAGTTTTGCATTACCCTAAGAGGATATCTTAGACAATCTTATTTTATAAAGAAAAGAATTTTAAATGCTTACACTTCTAGAGGTTAAAAGTCCCATATTGGGCTGCCCCATTGTGTTAGCCTCTGGTGAGGGCCTAAGGTGGATGGCATTACAGCAGCAGGTGTGTATGTGAGAAGAAGAGATGACATCTTGAAAAAAGAAGAAAGTGACTTGAGTTCTACAATCTTTTCCCAAGGGCATGATCCCAATTGACCTATGGAGCTCCCCTTAGGCTCTACCTTTTAAGGGTTCAACACCACCTACCAATTTCACTACCTTGGGAATTGCACTTCCAAAACATGAACTCTTGAAGGACACAAACTATATCCAAACTATGGCATTTTAGCTCTGGTCCCCAAGGATCATGTTCATCTCACAATGAAAAATGCATTTATTGTATTCTCAGTAGTCCCAAAGTTTTAAGTGTTCTAGCATCACTATAAATTCCAAGACCATAGTTGTTTTTTTTTTTTTTGAGACTCAAGGAAACTCTCAGCTATGAGCCCCCATTAAAAAACAAAAACAGAAACAAGTTACATACTCCCAAGATATAATGGCAAGATAGGAATGGGATAAATATTTCAGTTACAAAAGGGATAAAAGGAATGTAGAAAGGAATAATTGGCCCAAAGCAATACTGAAAACCATCATGGCAGATAATTAATTAAACCTTCAGGTCTGGCACATTGTACACATTATGGTGAGGGTTGAACCCTCAAGACTTGGGTATCATTGCCCCTACAGCTTTCCTATTAACAAGTCTGGTTATTCTTTTGAGCTAGTTTTGCACAATGCTTACAGCTTTCCCCGGCAGGCACTGAATATTACTATTTTCTCTACCACTCTAGGATCCTCACTGAGCTCCATTAGGCATTGCCTCATTGGGGACTCTCTGCAGGGAATCTGACCCTACATTAAACTTCTGTCTGGGCTCCCAGGTGTTTCCTTTAAAATTTCACTGTATGCCATCAGAATACTCTTGCACTCTGTGTACAAGAAAAAATAGCTCCACATGGACACCAAGTCTATGAATGGTGCAAATTGTCCCTGGACCTACTTGAGCAACTGCTGCAGCTATAGAGTTCTTTACTGGCAGAATGCAGGAAACAAATCCCAAGCAAACGGTGAGTACTCTGGGATTGGTCCCTGTAATAATTCTGCCCTGGAAGATTCCTGGGCCTGTGATACTAAGAGTAGATTCAAAGATTTCTGAGATACCCTCAAAATCTTTTTCCAATTGTCCTATTAGCATTCCTGATCATCTTTTTGTATATTTATTTTTATATTGTTTTATTTTTTGTGTGTGTTGCTGGGGATCATGTGCAATGCTGGGCAAGTGCTATGGCTTTGAACCATATCCTTAGCCTCCATCCTAATCCTTTCAGCAAGTGGTTGCTCAGGTGCACCTTCCCCTCTCAAATACACTTTTCCACCTGGTTCCAAATCTTTCCATTCAGTTTGATTTTTCACCCAAGTCTAACTGTAAATCTCATTAAAAGTGGTCAATAATACTCAGGCTGCATTCTGATTGCTTTGTTATTTTGAAATTTCTTCTGCCAAATAAACTAGTCCATCACTCTTAATTTTGGCCCTCCACAAAATCTTAGGGCATGGACACAATGCATCCAGGTTCTTTGTCAAGAGTGTAACAAAAATGGCCTTTCCAATTTCCAACAGAGTTTCCATTTCTCTCTAGGTCTAGATCCCTAGTCACTCATCTTCTGTGCTCTCACCAGAATTGTGCTTTTTACTTGCTTCACCAAGCTCTTTGAACCTCTATCTGTAACCCAATTTCAAAGCTGCTTCCAACATTCATAGTATAGTTATACCAAAAAACTCCACTCCTCAGTACTAGTTTTCTATATTAGTCTGTTTTTCATTACCATAATGAAATACCAGAAGCTCATAAAATCTAGAGAATCCAGAAATTCAAAGTCTTGTGCTGGCATCAACTCATTTCTGGTGAGGACCTCATGGCAGATGGCAGGAGCACATGGAAGAGAGAGAAGAGACATCACCAAACAGGAAACCAGAGTGAAGTTCAGGGGGTAGGTTCACTCCTGTTAACAACACACTATCTTGATAATGACTTTTATCTTTTCCAAGGGCAGAGCCCTCAATGACCTAAGGATCTTCCACTGGGGCCTAACTCTTAAAGGTCCATATCAACTTCTAACCTCACCACACCAGTACCAAGCTTCCAACACATGAACACTTGGGGGATACATTCAAACCATATCTCCACTAAGCAAATAACTATTCATTCATAGGAAAATATCCAAGTGCTTTGTATGTGGAAAACACTGTGCTAACTGCTAGGGATACAAAGGTGAACATAACAGAAGTGATATCACCTTACACATTACAGAGGTGGAGTCAGTGGTAAACAATTATAATAATTACTGTATTTAAATACTATATTTTCATTATTATTTGTATAACATTGTCAAAGGAGCATAGTTTTCTGTGAATATAAAGAGGGGGACAGTTCAGGGAAACTAAGTCAATCTGGTTCAGGTTTGCTAGGTGCATAAGAACTGGCATGGCGGGGCTGGGATTGTGGCTCATGGTAAAGTATTCACCTACCAAGTTCGAGGCCCTGGGTTCGATCCTCAGCACCACACAGAAATAAATAAATAAAGGAATTATGTCCAGGTAGAACTAAAAAATAAATATAAAAATAAATATTAAAAAAACTGACATGGCAATGGGAGGCTGGAGATTCCCAGGAAAACCAAAAAGTAAAAGGTTAGGCCTTGAGGCTCCAGAGGCTGGATGCATTTGACAAAGGAAGGGAAAGCCAAATGGAGATGCATAAACATCACTGGAATGTCTATATGGAGAATGAATTATATGTGTGTGGTGGATGGGGAAGTAAGAGTGGATTAGGGACTTGGTGGTGGCAGTAGAGAGAGTGGATAGATTCAAGATTTATACATGAGAGTTGGGGCAGACAGGACTTTGGTAAGAGACACAAAAGTGTTCACAAATATTCCAAGGATTCTGTATAAGGACCAACAGGTGGAAACAGAGACACTACTATGATGATAAATTCTGAATAGGCACAAATTTGGTAACATGAACATTTAAGTGGAAGAACATCTCCAAGTGGGGATGATAAGCAGGCAGCATACTGAGGCTACAGGTGGAACAGCACAGAGATTTGCAACTGAGAGCCAAGGCCTACACACAGTAAGATGGAAAGGCCTAGTTTGAGGCAGCAATGGCAAATCTCTTTTCTTGGTTGAGTCTCAGTAGTCTCAAACCCAAAATAGTTTTAGTATCTGGTTTATATTGGGAAGTGCTGATAGTATTAGTATAACAACAATGTCATGCTAAAGCTAACACTTTTTTCTTTCATTTTTTAAAACTATTTTAGAGTGAGTACTATATAAAAGGATTTCAAACAGGAGATAATGAAGAATGAGGACCAGGCAAAAAGATGGAGAGTGTGAAACACCACCAAAGAATGTCTTCTTTGAGGTATACGAAAAAGTGCTTTTAAAGCAGACTAAACTCCATTTCTGCATATTTTTAAAAATATAACTTTTTAAATTTTTATTCATTCTTTTTATATATACATGATAGTACCGTGTATTTTGACATACAGATCATATTTTGACATATTATTATACATATATACTTGTAATTAGGATCCCATTCTTGTGGTTGTGCATGATGTGGAGTTTCACTGGTGGCATATTCACATAGGAACATAGGGAAGTTATGTCCCATTTGAGAATACAACTTTGTAAGAATCCTTTCCTCCTCCCTAGGCAGACACTTTCTCAATTTTTAAAAATTATCAATTTAGTTTTTTCTACAACGAATAACTTCTTTACAGAATCTTCCTATTCAGACTTTAAACAAACCTAATTTTGTTTTTACTCAGTCCCAGGCCTCCTTCCCATTGTGTTTAGTTTCAAGACTATTTCTGAAAGTGTTGAGACACCAGTATATTCACTTCTAGAGGGATCCCTGGAACAGCATCTGGGAACTTGTTAGAAATCTACAAGTTCTATGGCCATATGCCAGACCTACAGGACTCGGGAAATCCAGAGGCCCGTGTTTTAACAAGTCTCTTTGATTTTGACGTCTCATAAATTGAAGATTCTCTACTCTTTAATATTTGGAAGTTGTTTCTTTCCCTCGCCCCAATATATCGGGAAATAACACCCCCCAATACACTAACAGCTACAGCTGCTCCTTAAGAATGATTATTCAAGGCACAGCTTACTTGGGGTTTTCATTTTATGTTTACTTAAGGTTAGTTTGGGCCAGACAACACAATTCGTAAGTCAACACTGCACGATCCTGTCTGCAAGCTCTCTTCTAAGAAACCCAACGGTGAGCGCAGCGGTTCGCCAACGACGGGCTCCAGACGCTTCGGACTCAGAGCCGGGAAAGAAGTTCGAGAAGCAGCGCCGCCAACGCTTCCCCCTCCCGAAATAAAGTACCCCTGCCGGACGCCCAGTAGCTCCCCGGAAAGCGCCGGGACGCCAGGAAGCCCCGCCCTGCGCTCGAACGCCCACCAATCGCAGCGCGCAGTGAGGCGTGCCGACTGGGAATCTGCGCGCGCGCGTTCGGGGGGGCGGTACCAGCGAGAGGAGGGAGGCGGCGCGCGTGGAGATGCCTCGCGGCGGCGGCCGCCCTCGCAGTCATAAGGTGCGCGGTGGGGCGGGAGTTGAGACCGTGCGGTTTCGCGTTGGCTAGGGGGAAGCGCTGGCCCGCGGTGGCAGCTCGGTTTAGTCCTCAGCAGGCGTGAACGCCGGTTGGTTGGGCTAGAGGGTGGGCGCTGTGGCTGGCGGGCACTCCAGCCTGCGAGCTGGAGCCCGGGCGAGGCCGCGGCGGGCGGGTCTGCGTGCGGGTGCTGCTGCCGCCGCCCCCAAGTCGCTCTTCTGCCCGGATTGTGTGCGCTACTCCTGTTGTGGGAAAGGCGAGGGTGGCAGCGGTGGGCGTGACGGAGTGGGCTTCTGGGGCTTGAGTTGGGAACTAGTGAGTGAGATATATTCTTCCTCGCTGGTGTCTAGAAGTTCTTTTTAATTTTTTTTTTTTTTGATTCATTCCTATAACGAACGCACCAAGACAGCAGTGGATATCGGCATGCCTCTGCCAGTTTTTCGTGTTGCTACTTTTCTTGTCGTTCCTAAATTTCCTCTGAAACTTTCTCTTTCTGCCAGTGGGAGAGGAATCTGGAGTTAAGTGCTTCCAGTCTGTATTCCAGCACCCTGCACAGTTTGTAGGCACGAAGTAGGTGTGTAGCAACTATGTAACAGGCACGATATGTGAAATGATTGCAACTGCATTCATGAGGACATCATTTTTATTCTATCAGTTGTGGTGGTCATAGTGTTGATTTTTTGCCACCTGCTTGTATTTCTTTTGGAGTGTCCCTGATGTTGCTACCCTAATCTTTTTAGTCTTTACAACTGCTCATTTATTTCCCTTTGCTGTCTTCCTGCCATGTTCTATATTTTATTTTATTTTGCCAAACTGGGGAGGGAGGAGCTACATTCCCAATCCTTTTTATTTTTTTATTTTGACATAGGGTCTTAGTTGCCTAGGCTAGTGTGTGTAATTTGCTTCAGCCTCCAGTACTTGGGATTGTAGGCCTGCACCACTACACCCAGCCACTAGCCACATTTCAAATGCACAGTAACTACATGTTGTCAGAGGCTTCTGGGTATCCAGCACAATACAAAACATTTATGTCATTGCAGCAAGTTCTGTTAGGTATCACTGGTGTACACTATTTGAAATGGTATTCTCTAAAAGCCAAAGATTTTCTAATTGCCATCATTTATTCAGATTTTCAAGACATATAAAACTTGATGGTATTGGTTTTAGAGAATAGGAACATTCTGAGATACAAAAAAGGAGAGCTCAATTTGGGGGAGATTGGCTGATTTTCATAGCAGTTGATATTTTACCTTTAGGAAGGTGTAACAGCTTGAGCTATGAGGCTAAGATGGAGGGTTGAAGAGAAGTGTGGGTATGGAAGTGTGTGATTGTGTATAGGTATTTACATGAATGTCTGTAAGTATGTGTGAGAGGAGAGGGCTAGTGACCAAGGACATGTGATAAGAAAATATGGAGGGAGCTGCCCTTAGTTTGGGTCATTTTTGCAGTAACCCCAGGGATTGGTGATTGGAAAATTAAGTTCATAGAAGGATGGGAGTCTTAGTGCTCAAAAGGCAACACTGAAGCAATTGGCCATAGAGTGCAGAATGGCAGGAGAGGTGCCATGATTAGGAGGGGGCTAATGATTCTGATACAGTGAGTGGGCTTGAGACTTAAGTCCCAGTGAATTCCCAGGTACTAAAAGCCAAAGCAGAAACTCACTGGTGGTGCCCTTTTGTGGGAAGAGTTATTGATAATTATTGATGGGCACTTTTGTTAAAGTGTGATAATGGAGAATCAATGACTAGAATCCTCATTTCAAGAATTAGGCATTCGTGGGAGAAAGTACTGACTCATTGCTTACCAACTTAGATATACTTAACCATTTCTAAGTTGTAGTGACTTTGTAAAATGGACATGATACCTGTTTTGTAGGGTATGAGAATTAAATAATAAGAATGCATGGAGTGATGTGCCGAGCATACATATACTCCATATATGTTAATGAAATGAAAACCATTAATAAAATCATATGATATTGACAAAATTATTAATATGAAGACAATAATATTTTACATCCTCAATTACTTTGCTTCTAGATTTTCCTGGAATTGCCTTCTTTCATCTTGTGAACAAGGAATAGGAAGAGGATTTAGTTTTAAAAATTTTCACTGATGTAAGAAAATTCTCTCAGTTAATTTGGTAGGAGTATGTTATGGTTCCAATTTAGGGCTTTGGTAATCTTATCGGATGATTTACTTACAGAATTTAGACTATTTAGTATTGATATTTTAGTTTTGATGTTGTCATCCTTCAAATGGAAGAGAGAACTTTATTATGGGACTTTCTATTGTCATGTACTTCACACAAAATATACCATTTATAGGAAAACTATATTTTCTTTTTAACCAAAATAATATATGTTCACAGATAGATAAAATGGTATGAAAATTTTCTTTATTAAGATATAGACTTACATACAGCCATAAGAAATAATAGAGATCTTAGGTACCCTTTACCTACTCTTCCCTGATGTTGACATTTTGCAAAACTTTTGTACACTATAATCATCAGTATATTCACAATTCAGTCCAATTAACTTAGGTTTTCCAAGATTTGTGTTTATGTGTATGTGTATTTAGTTTTGTCTTTGTGTGTTTGTGCTTCTATAACAAACTACCATAGATGGAGTGACTTATAAATAACAGGAATTGATCTCAGTTAATGGGGATTGGGCAATGCTAGATGGAAGCAATGATCCTTTTCATTCTGGAGAGGGCCCATTTCCTGGTTGCTAGACAGTCATCTTATCCTCATGTAGTAGAAAGGTGAGGAACTCTTTTTAGGACACTAATCCCATACCATCCGACCACCTACCAAAGTCCCCACCACCTCATATCATCACTTTAGGGGTTAGAGTTTCAACATATGGACTGAGAAGGGGGAGAAAACATTCAGACAATAGCAGTTCTGTACACTTGTATTATATGGGTAAGTTCTTATTTCTGCCACAACATTTAAGATACTAAACAGCTCAAAGAACATGAGAATCCCTTTTATAATCCCAGCATTCACTTCCAGTAACTCTCCCTTCATTTCTGGCAACCACTAATCCATTGTCACCATTAAAAAAAAATTGTTATTTCAAAAATGTTATGTAAATGAAATCATTTTATGTAACCTCTTGATTTTTTTTCTACTCAGCATAAAACCCTAGAGACTTATCCAAGTTTTGCATATCAGTAGTTTCTTTTTATTACTGAGTATAATTCTATAATTCTGTGGAATGGATACACCAAGTTTGGCTTAACTTTTCTGTATTGAAATATTATCTGGTTGTTTTGTGTTGGACTATTGCAAATAAAGTTGCTCTGAACATTATGTATGGGTTTTTGTATGAAAATAAATTAATTTCTCTGAGATAAATACCCAAATATGTAATCATTGAGTTGTATAGTAATTAGATGTTTAGTTTTATAAGAAACATGTAAGCTTTTCCAGAATGGCTATATAATTTTATAGTCCCACTGGCTTGTGATTCAGTTTCATAATAGAATTCATCCTTTTAAAATGTATATTCCAGTGTTTTTAATATATTTGGTTATATGAATATTCAAAATTATGGGCCACTTTTATCATCCCCAAAATAAACCTCACTCATATTAGCAGCCATTCCCCATTGGTTTTTCCCTCATCCTCCAGCAGCAGCCACTGAGCTACTTCCTATCTATGGATTTGCCTTTCTGGATGTTTCATAGAAAGTGAATCATCTAGTATGAGGTCTTTTTGTAATTGGCTTCTGTCATTTAGAATAATGGTTTGTCCGTGTTACGCATCTATTTAGTACTTTGTTCCTTATGGCTGAATAACATTCCATTATATGGACATACCACATTTTAACAATCCACTCATCAGTTAATAGATATTTGGATTATATCTACCCTTAGGCTGTTAGGAATAATTCTAGTTTAAACATTTGTTTTAAATATCTAAGTTTTTCTTTAGCAGAATTTCTGGTTATATGATAGCTCTTATGTTTAAATTTTGAAGTACTGCCAAAATGTTTTCAGAAGTAATCGCACCATTTTATAGTCTCACCAACAAGGAATAAGGATTCTCATTTCTCTATATCTTTGTGAGCACTCTGTTACGTGTGAAACAATGACAGAAAATTCAGAGGTGAAATGATTGGTTATGAGAGCCTTAATCTAATCAATGCATTAATCCACTGCTGTGGATTAACTGGTCAGTAACTGCAGGTGGGTAAGGTGCGACTGCAGGAGGCAGGTCACTGGGGATGTGCCTTTGGGGTTATATTTGGTCCCTGGTGAGCAGAGCTCTCTGTTTCCTGTTTTCTGTGTCCTGAACTGTTTTCCTCTGCCCTGCTCTTCTGCCATGATGTTTTGCCACACTGTGATCCAGAGGTATGGAGTTGGCTGATCATGGACTGAACCTTGGAAACCGTGAACCAAAAGAAACTTCCTTCTCTAGTTGTTCTTGTCAGGTCTTTTGGTCACAGTGATGAAAAAGCTAACTAAAACAGAACACTGACTGATGTTATTTGTTGAGTTGTGTGACTATAACTCTTATAAATTTATAAGTTCTTTTTATTGCCAAATTGTAAGAATTCCTTATAAATTCTGTATACATTTCCCCTATCACATAATGATTTGTCAACATTCTCTCCCATTCTATGGGTTTTCATTTCTTTTCTTTTTTAAAAATATTTATTTTTTAGTTTTAGGTGGACACAATATCTTTATTTTATATTTATGTGGTGTTGAGGATTGAATCCAGTGCTTCATGCATGCTAGGTGAATGCTCTACCACTTAGCCACAACTATCCCAGTTTTCATTTTGTTGATGGTATCATTTGAAGCACAAAGGTTTTAAAATTTTGATGGTGTCTCTTTTATTTTTTTCTTTTATTGCTTGTGCTTTTGGTGTCATATCTAAGAAATCATTGCTTAAACCAAGGTGATGCAGATTTATTACTGTTTTCTTCAAAGAGTTTTATGATTTTAGCTTTTAAATTTATATCTGTT